TTTTTGTATCAGGTCTGGGACCGTTGTTTCAGGTCCTAGGACCGGACCGGACCGGATTCGCAATTTAACATCCCTACTTCATCGACAGTGAGGACTCATCTAGGTACACGTGATTTTTTGACCGAATCAAGACCCGCCAATAACCTTGGAACCGGTTAAAGACGATCCTCTACATATGATCGACACGAAACTGATAACGTAATACGTGATAATGCCACCAAAAAGACCCACAACTCGATCGACAAAACGACAAAATGACAAGCGAGAGCAAGAAACTGAAGATGCAGAAGCAGAACTAATGTCAATGGAAATTGAAATTTCACCAATTCCTTTAAACTCCAAAGGCAACTCGCGACAAAAGTCAAGAAAAAAAAACACTGAAACGCGACAGAATGAAGTAACAGACATGGAAGACCTAAATGAGGTAAGTAAAAATCCGTATATGTAATCTATATATGTATATGTATCGTTCAAGAATGTAATACATCTTGCTGAACAAGAAAATACTTATTTCTATAGATGCGAAAATTGTTACAAGACATTAAAGTTAAGCAGCAAACTTTTGAAGCTTTACGAAATAACGACTTAGACAAGAATGAACAGAGTATAAGAGAGTTCAAAAACAATTGTGAGAAGCGGTCTCAAGGTACCTTACATTTTCCATTTCCCGATATCTCTGCGATTTAATATTGACATATCATACTCTTTTTGTTTATTTTTCTAGGGCTAGAAGCTATGGTACTTCAATTAAAACGTCAAATAGAGAATTTAGAATACGAGAGGAGGTCCATTTTGAATCAAAGTCAAGATTCAATGGAGATTATTGCAACAAGCAGTAACAATTCATCGAGTAACGCTGAAGTAGCAAAATTGAAAGACTTTGGTAACAATCAATTTTTAAGCTAGAATTAATTTATAAATTCTTATTTTAAAACTTATCCTTTAATAATCTAGTGAAAAAGCTTGAATGCGATTATCAAAAAGAGACAGAAAAGAACAAGCGTTCTGAATCAGAAATAAAGCAATTACGCGAACAGGGTATGAACTTTAATTAAATTAGAATGTATTTTACTTATCTCTTTTTTACTTTATTATTTTTTTTTTTATTTCGTTAATTTAAAAGTAAAAAATCTTGAGAATTCTAACCATGCCGAAGATGTAGTAAGATTAAGAGAACAAGGTCAAATAAATGAATATTTCATTATGTTTTATTATCCATTTGGCGTATATAGCTTAATTTTTTTTGTTTTTAAAAAAAAATATTAGTAAAAAGGCTTGAACTTGAGCTGAAACAAGAATGTGAAAATAGCAAGAAACTTACGGCTAAACTTTCAAAAACATCTGTTTCCAGAAAACTAAATCCAGCTGAGCTTGATCAAAAGTCAAAAGAAATGCAAGAACAAGTATCACTATATGCAGAAATGTCTAATCTCTTAATCCAAAATGTGAAAGTGATCTCACAAGACGAAAAAAGCTTTAAATGCCTTCATAGCGGAAGGAATGGAAGTATGTAAATCGTTGAATTGTATTCAATGTTGCGGACTAAACCGAAATATTCTGCCTTGACAAATTATTTCATACTGACGAAATACTTCGAAATTTATAAGCAATTTTGTCCCGCAACATTATTAAATGTATTAGCAATTTTTATTCGACTAAATATCGATGTATATTTCTTTTAGCATTGGAATTCAAGCTCTCTTTTAAAGGAGAAGAGGCTCATTACGAACCATCTCTTCAGCCAGATCGAGATGCCGACCTTATGGCTATTTTGCCCGATTACCTTAAAGAACCAATAGATTTCAAGAAGGAATCATTGGATCTATTTTTCTGGAGGATCTTGGATTTTTTACAAAGGTCTCCAGTCTGACGATTTACCAAATATGGCGCATCTTTTATGGTAAAATATCGATCAGATATTTCTAGACATTTCGGTTGCACGATATCACATGCTAATTGGCCAATCAGATTACGGTCTTGATAAATAAGAAAATTGATTATTTCGTATAACTAAAATATTCGTTAATAAAAAATGCTCCAAAATTTCTCAAATTTTAAAAGAACAACTTTATTTAATGTACTAAGATTGATTTACATGTACTAAGATTGATTTACTTAGTACAAAATTTCGTTATAGCTATTTTTTGCAAATGGCAAATACGAAAAATATCTTGCCAAATACTTATCAGAATTGAATGGTATAAAAATCACCCAATTATAATCGATAGAACCCGAAATATCGCTAAAAACCTAATTTTCTATTTTATCAAATTCTTAAATAAATGCTTAGTTAAATATATTCGCGATTATATGGGGGGTGCCAGTAGAAACCAAGCAATTTGTTTTTAGTGAGTTTTTTTTTAAATTTTAAATTAAAATATCTCAACAACTATTAAACCAAACTTGATAAAAATTTTTTTATTTTAATTCTATAACTAT